GGGAATGGCAAACTACTCTAGTATCTTTGCCAAGAAAACCTCAAATAGATTCATGAAGAGTTGAACATGACTGAAATGACCGAACAATAGATCCAATGAATAATTAGGGCTAAATGGTCAGAGGATAATCAGTATTAGAGTTTATTTTCAGAACTTTTTTCCAAAAGAAAGAGGTGTTAAAATTTAAAACCTTACAGTTTTTTGGAAGCTATATCTAATTTTGAAGGATTTAGGAAAAAAAGCTAACAAAGAATAGCAATGGAATTTACTTGAGTGGAGATTTTATTAATTTAATTTTATAGTGAATGAAGTACTTGATTCTTGATACTTGATATTGGACGAATAATAGAATGATGTCATTAATATTTATAGTTAGTAGAATAAAGGTGACCCCCAAGGTATAATTATGAAATGGGGTAATTTTTTCCCTTTTTATTAGCAGTATTTGCTTAAGGAAGAAAATTAATTTTGAACTGAGGATACTAGTAAAAAATAAAAATGAAGGAAACTAATCCTTTCTCACTTTTTTGATAAATAACATGTGTCATTATAAAGTACCGAGAAAAGAAAATCTTTATGTTATAAGAAAGCAAAGATGAATGTAAGAAAATATCAAATTAAATTTTTATTTTTTTTTCAGTAAAAGTGAGTATAATTCAAAACTACACAGCTCAAATCATCCTTAGAAAACTTTCCCCAAACTTATAGGAAGAATTATTTTTCATTTGACTGGTCTGATTCACCTGTCAGTTTCAACTGGTGCCACCTATACTACAGAATTATGAAATCATTCAGTTTTAGAACTGGAAAGAATCTTAATAGTTATCTGGTCACTCAGAGGTTCTTAATCTAGGGTCCATGAATTTTAGAAAATATTTAGAAATATTTAGAAAATACTGATAACAGTATCTCCCTGTAATTGATCTCCATTATAATCCTATGCATTTTATTTTATGCATTTAAAGTATTCAAGTCTGAGGAAGAATTAAAGTATTAAGTATTAAAATTAAAATTAAAGCAATAAAGTCTGAAAAAGAATCCCTAGATTTTACCAGACTGTCAAAAGGGCCCATAACACAAAGAAAGTTAGGAATTCTGGGATCATCCCACCCACACCATTATTTTACATATGAGGAAACCAGAGAGGTTTGGACTTATCCAAGGTCATATAGTTTCATGGTAGTTTCAGAACAAGGTCTTCTGATATAAAATTTTGGTAAAACTAGAAAAATTATTTCTTCCCTCTCCCTCATCTCCCCCTTTCTATACTCTACAAACGGTCCCTTCTCCCACCTAAAACTCCTGGCCTTCCAAGAGTTCTTTGGAATGCCCTCCTAGCAATATTTGTAATCTTCTTTGATGGCAACTTCCATACCCCATTCTTCATTGACAAGTGGTACCCCCTCCCTTGTGATGTCACAAAGGGGAAACTAGTTAGAAACTCCTTAAGTGAGGCCTCACCTTCCTTCTGAAACACTTGGTCCTCCCTCTTCTATATCACTACAACACCTTGATGCAGAGGACATCCCAGTTATCTCAAACTTAATAACTAGAAGAGTACTTGACCTAACTTGGGTGTAAGGACACGAGGGTACATCTTGCCTAGATCACAGACCCTCCTCTTTAGGACCTGGAAATCAGCGCACCCAAGGCCTGGACCCTATGTACATTTCCCCCTCTAGAGATCTGGCTGAATCCTTGTCTTTCAGGTGGCAGTGATAATCCTAGTGTTTTTCCCCCTACATCCTCCTTCTTTACCTTGCTACCCCTTTTATTCTCCTTACCCCCAATTTACCAGCTTCCCTTGTATGAGGTGAAATGTTCCCCTAGTGAAAGGCCTATTATTTTTAGCATTATTTCCTGAAATAATTTTCCTTTTTTGGTATAATTCAATAACCATGTTATGAAATACTTAAATAATAGTTATGACTTATAACATGATCTAAGTGAAAGTACCTTGGTCAAATGTCACTTCCTCAATGAATGCTATCTCTGATCCCTCCTCCTCAGAATTCCCACCATGCTCTGTTGTTTATACTATAATTAGTGAATGATCTCATTCTACAACTAAGCATTTCATTCAACATAAATGTACTAAATACTTACTATATGCAAGGCACTGTGATAGGTTCCACTCCCCCATACAAAGATAGAAGAGAAATAATCCCTGCCCTCAAGAAGTTTACATTCTACCTTGTGTTATGGTCATAGCCTGCCCTACTGAAATTATAATACTTAAACAATTTTATAGTGCTTTAAGGTTTGTGAAGTGCTTTACAAATATTATCTCATTTGATCCTCACAATAGCCCTAGGAGGTAAGTGCTATTATTATCCCCATTTTGCAGATGAGGAAACTGAGGCAGACAGAAGTTAAAAGAGTTGTCTAGGCTAGATTTGAATTCAGGTCTTCCTGATTCCATGTCTAGCACTCTATATGTCATACTACCAAGTTGCCTCTAAGTCACGTAAGCTCCATGAGCTGTGAGATCCTGTCTCATTCTTCTTTGTGTCCCTCAAAGGATATAGGATATGACCTGGAATATAGAAAGGCCTCAACTAGTATTTACTGACTAATATAAGAATGTATTTAAATTCCCTGGCTCTCCTGTTTCTATTGTCTATCCAAATTATTTCTGGGTACCTAAACTGTATTGTACTATATTGTATCATTGTATTCTGTGAATTTTATGATCATAGCACACTGATCCTATTTTTTGGTACTGTGTGCCCTGTAAGCTGACACATTATCCATATTTATTTCATATATTGCTATTCTCTAGGTATATGCTGTTATTCTGTAACCTTCCTACCTCCTGAACATGAATTCTATGGCTATCTTCGCTTCCATATACTTAATGATTTAGAATTTAAGTCCTTGGTTCATCCACAATTATATGCAGACATTATAAAAATATTTACAGAGAACCCTTCAGGAATTTAAAATCTCATCACATTTACTTCAGAGTCAAAGGACTGTGATTTGGACAAATAACTAAACCTTTCTGGGCCTCAGCCGCCTCAACTATAAAATGAGGGGGTTGGGCTAGCTAGCTCTAAGGGTCCTTCAAACTCCAAATCTATAATCCTATGATATTACAAAGTGAGATTACAATAACTTGCATAAGCAAAAAATATTTTAATCCACATATTTCTTTGGGAATTTATAATAATTTTTATCTTTGTAGTAACAAAAATTCTCTCTTATTTTGCTGGATAGCAGTGAAAAGTGTACTTCTGGAAACTAAATTTATGATGTAAATTTGTTTTTTATTTTCAATGATGATAAAACTAAAAGATAGGTATAATGATGAGAAGAAAAAGAAGCATTTAAAATAGTTTATAAAAGTTAAAACATGTAATGTAATCATCTATTATTTATGTGTAACAAAAGACAGTGATTTTTTTTCTTTTAAAAACACTCATTTGCTCACATGTAACTGCCCTGAGATCATACTGTAAGGACAAACAAAGGTCACCAATCCTTCCAACTCCTAGTTCTTTGTCAAAAATGGACACAGTTAATGAGGTTTGTTTGGTACAGCACAAATTCTCAGATACAGATAGAGATCCTTTCAATGGTAACAAATTTGTTTGGCTTTACCAGGTCACTTAGCGATTAATAATAGCCTTGAAATGCAGGTCAGAAAGGTCATTGTACCAGCTTGCCAACACAATCTAAATGTGCAGCTAGTCCAGTTCTCCAGGCTTGGAGGCCCCCAAAACACTATGCATAAAGTAAAACAGGCTATTTTCCAACTCCTTTTTTCATATTAATAAGCAATTTTCAAGAGAAGGGTGGCAAAATGGGGGCCATGCCACTCCAAGTAATTCATTTATTTTGCAATTTAATCTTATGTTGAAAAAAAATTACGCTGCTGCAAAAGCATAGCGTGGTGATTTTTAAACGTCAGTATGTTTCATATGTAACCTTGTATGAAATATTGTATTAATACCCTTTAACAGTAAACTGTAAAGAAAAAAATTCTACAGATTGAAATAGATGTATATGTCTTTTTCTTACTTGAATTTTTTTCCCTTTTCATTCTCTTTTCCCCTACTACCTTTGAGGCAAAGGCATGGCTGATTTACTTAAAATAGGCTCACTTACTATTGTGTGTGTATGTATGTGTTTGTACCTTTAAAAGTATATTCTAAAACAAATCCTGAAAAGATACTGTGACCTGGGAAAAGTACTAAGTAATTTTCCAAACCATTTTTTATTTAGCAAGTTTGATTTAGGTATGCTACTTAAACTTCAACAAATATTTATAGAGGACCAACTAGGTACAGAGAACATTTCAGTGTTTACTGGGGAAAAATACTGGCCCTGTCTTTCAGGAGCTCACAATTCCAGATAACTCAAAACACCTAGAATTATGTCAAAATACCAGTCTCATCATGTTTATTGATTCATACTTGAACTATGTATACACGAACACATACTTGTCAGAGAAACACATGTAAAATATTTTCAATTTTTTAACTTTATTGAACATATGAGAAAGGTTTGAAATGCTTCATCTAGTTTAACATTTATTCTGTCTGTACACATCACTGAACCAAGTGTCAATCTTTTGTATGCTGGCTAATGTACAATGTCTGTTTCTTATTGATATTATTATAAATACTAATTGAGATTAAGTTGTAATAAATTATGTGTACAAAAGACAGATGCATAATTTTGAAATTGGCATTGCATATGGAAATAATGATTTGAAGTGCCTGAGTATAAAATCAAGGCTTCACATATTTAGTAGCTTAACTATCTGTTTTAGAACAGTTAAAATCACTAAGTCATCTAATCATCTAGGCAAGGTCTATTTTCATAATTTTCTTTACATTCAAAATGGCCCTTTCCTAACTTTATTGAGTAAATTGCCAGTTGTAGGCACTTTAAAAACTGTTAAGCACAATAAAAATGTGTTTTTATTTCTACACATAATGGGCCCTCAAAAGTACTTGACTGATTGCAAATAACAGAGAATTGTTTTAATGCAGGGAAGCACTGGAGGAGTTTGCAGAGATGCAGGGTCGAGAAAAGAAGAAGGCTGACTTAGAGAAGGAAGAGAAGAGAAAGCAGCACCAAGCCCGAAAGACCCATTACCTTCTCAGCACAAAGCAGGTCGGTATACCTGTCCCTGGCAGCTCTCACAAGCCACTGGAGCCCCGAGTCTGACAGAGATAAACTGGCAGGCTGAATGGGACATGACTTGTTGGAAAGATATCACAAAGACACTGCTTCGAGTTCAATTTCAGGTTTTTCTCTAGGCAAGAGCAGGCACCATGACTATTCTGTGACAGCAGCTTTGGAGAGGCAGGAGGCTGGTGCTCGCAGAAATCATCCAAGTCAGCAGTTTGATCTGCCTCTGTGATAACACAACACAAAGGGTATCACCTCACTTTCAAAACTCATTTTGACTGGTTTATTGTTGTGTTGTTGCACTTGTCTAGAACTAACAAGTGCTTAAGCTTTTTCTCTCTTTTCAATTGAGCTAATGCTGAGCTTGAGTGTCTACCCTTTCACTGTGTTTCCAAATAGGGTTTAAGGAAGGTTTTCAAGTAAAGCTTTTCCCAGATCTGTTCGCTTCAGCCAAGTTTTGCCCTTATTTTCACGGAGGAATTTGACTCTCAGATTTTGCATATTTAGGAATCACCTTAGCATTCTGGAATTTTTGATATTTCATAGTTTTAGTTTTGTTGGTAAAAAGAGAATGTTATTTTATAAATCGGATGGGTGGACCAAGATCTATGATTTTACTGGTGTTAGGATCTCCTGGGGTGAAAACTTCCTCCCTCCACTGATATACTGTAGATCTTCAAATCATCTGTAACAGATAGTCATAAAAGAGTTGTTTGGCGAACTAATGGGTTAATACATTCAAAGCAACATGTGAACCCAGGTATTCTGGAATCCTGGGCCAGCACTCTATTTATTACACCATATTTCCTCTTAATATATTATGCAAAAAAGCTTGAAGAATATGGTTTTAATAACTAAGAGTTTTCAAGATATAATGTATTTGAATGAATTGAATATTTAAAAGGAAGGTAAGAATTCACATATTATTGATTGGTAGAATGATAGAGCTTTTAAGGTTTCAGAAAACCTTAGGTTTAAGAGCCTTTAAGATTTCAGAAAAAATAGAATCAAATAATATTGGGGTTGGAAGGGACCTGAGAGACAATCTAGATCCAATCTATACATGAGCAAGAATCCCATCACAATATACCCTAGAAGTGTTCATCTAACCCTCTTTTTTTGAAAAACAGTTATCTTTTGATGTCTTTTGTTTTTATAATACCTTGATTTCTGCCTATATCCTCCCCTTACCATCCCTAGTGTAAATTTTAGAAAAAGAAGAGAATAAAGCATTAAGCTAAACTAATTAATACATTGAGGGAAAAATTGACATTTTATTCCTCACCCATGGGACCTCCTCTACCCCCATCTCTTCAGGTATCATTTCTCTTCTTTAGAATGGACAAAGCTTATTCTATATACTTTTGCAACACTAATTTTATATATTTTTTTGTTGTTGTTCTTTCCATTTACATTGTTGTAGTATTGCGGTCATTATGTTCTTATTCTATTTCGCTTTGTATCAGTTCATTTAAGTCTTTCCATGCTTCTCTGTATTGATCATATTCATCATTTCTTACAGCACAGTAATATTCCATCCCATTCATGTAATGCAATTTGTTTATCTCTTTTCCAGTTGATGAGTATCTATTTTTTTTCCAGTTCTTTGCTACCACAAATATTGTTGCTTTAAATATTTTGGTGTATGAAGTTTTTGCTTTTTTTGTCAATGACCTCTTTGGGTATATATACCTACCAGTGAGATCTCTGGGTCAAAATTTATTGATGTCTTCACTACTTTGTGATCATAATTCCAAATTGCTTCCCATAGTTCCACAAATAATGCTTTAGTATACCTCTCTTTCCCTCTACTATTCCCATCTTTTGTCATCATCCAAGATTTGTTAACTAATAAAGTGGAATTGCTATCTCCCATGACATCATTTCCATTTTGGGATAGCTCTTAGAGGACATTTTTTCTTCCATAGAGCCTACATCTGCCTTTTTAGGGCCTAGAAGAATCTTCTTCCACATGATAGCCCTTCATATCTTCAAAGAAAACTATCACGTTCCCCCTAAATATTTTCTTTTTTTAGATCAAATATCCTCAGTTCCTCCAACTAGCCCTCATATGGCGTGACCTTAAGGGCCTTTCTCATCCAGGTCATCCTGCTCTGCATATCCATCAAACTTCAGCTACCAGTACTCTAAAAATGGAACAACATGGTGAAGATCAGCATGGCCTCTGCACAAATATAACATGAAAATTCTTGAGGCATTCATATTTTTCAGCTAATTTCCTACCTCCCACAAGAGGCCTTTCCTGGTCTTCCTTCATTTCCCCTCCACCCCAACCCAATGGTAGGATCCTCTCTCTGACATTACTTCCAATTTATCCCCTATATATTTTGTGTGTACATAGTTGCTTGCATGTTATCCCCTTTAAAATATGGGCTTCTTGAGGTCAGAGGCTACTGTTTTTGCTTTTCTTTGTATCTCCAGTACTTAGTACACTGTCTGGAATATCATAAACACATAAGGAATGCTTGACACAAGATTACTAGATTCAGTTTAACAAACATTGAATGACTTCTATGTACATGGCATGGGCTGGGTGCTGGGGAGGCAAAGACAAATACTGAACAGTCCCTTTTCTCAAGTACCACACATTTCACTGGGGAGAGAACAACATACTCACAAGTAAGTAATACAAATTCATTGATTGAGAGAGAGAGAGAAAGAGAGAGAGAGAGAGAGAGAGAGAGAGAGAGACAGAGAGAGAGAGAGAGACAGAGAGAGAGAGAGAGAGAGAGAGAGAGAGAGAGAGAGAGAGAGAGAGAGAGAGAGAGAGAGAGAGAGAGAGAGAGAGAGAATGAATTAAGAGGGCACCATGAAAGATTTTATGGAGGATATGGGCCAAGAGTTATGCTTGGAAGGAAGCTAGGGCTTCTAAAAAGTCAGCAGAGAATACATTCCAGACATGATGCAAAGACATGCCTGGCAGTGGGAAATACAATGTTGTGGAAAGGGAAGAGCTAAGAGGTTGATTTGACTTGAATGGAGAGTGTGGAAATGGAAGTAATATGAAACAAGACAGGGAGAATAGGTGGGAGCCAGATTGTGAAAGATTTTAAATGTTATAGTGATTTTTTTAAAATTTTATCCTAGAGGCAATAATAGGGAGCCACAACTTTATTTTATTTTTATTTTTATTTTTTGTAAGAGTGTGATATGGCCAGATCTATGTTTTAGGAAAATAATTTTGACTCTAATATGGAGAATGAATTGGAGGGAGAAGAAGTTTAGAGACAGGAACAATTATAAGTCTACTGCAGTAGTCCAAGGGAGAGCTGATGATTTCCTATAAATAAGGGCAAGGGAAATGATTTCCTAGTAATATAATGTCCAGAACTGAGCATACTATTTGTGATATTTCCTGATCAGAACAAAGTACAATGGGATTGTCATCTCTGCAATTCTATATACTATGTTTCTTTTAATATAGAACAAGAATACATTAACATTTTTGTTTGCGTATTTTGCTGTTGATTCACATTGGGCTTCCAGTCTACTAAAACAAGATTTTTTTTTTGTGAGGCAATTGGGGTTAAGTAACTTTCCTAGAGTCACATAGCTAGTGAGTGTTATGTGTCTGAGGACAGATTTGAACTCAGGTCCTCCTGAATCCAGGGCCAGTGCTCTATCCACTGTGCCACCTAGCTGCCCCAATAAGATCTTTTTTTCAGAGAAACTACATCTCCCACATTTTGTATTTTTAATTTTTTTCCCATTCAATAAACATTTATTAAGCTCCCACTATGTTCCAGGCATTGTGGCAAGCACTGGGGATGCAAATAAGGAAAAAAAAAAAGACCCTGCCCTGAAGGGGCTTACAATCTAATGGGGGAAGACACACAAAAGGAAGCTGGAAAGCAAGAGGGAAAAGAAAGGAAGAGGCACTGGAGAGGGGAAGGGTACTTTGCACAGGGGCAAGTTTTTCTGTGGAATTGAAACCAAGCAGAACTTCAGGTGGAAAATAGAATAGCTGCAAAGTCCAGTTTCTACCCTCTATAAAGGAAGGCTTTGGGAGGAGTTTAGCATTTTATGCTCCAGCCTTCCAATCAGAGAGGAGAAAAGGCTGAGGTGGGAAGGTGTTGAGTAGCCAAGTCTAAATTAGCTGCCTGGTGCATTTTGTCCTGTAGAGTCAAAATCAAGCAGAACTGCAGATAGAAAGTGTTTGAAGAGCTGTTGTATATGAGAGGTATTAATTAGATTTGTTCTGACTGACCTCATTGGGAAAAATTAAGGGCAATTGGTATAAGTTGCAAAAGGGGCAAATTTAGGTTTGACGTAAAGGGGAACCTTTCTGACAATCAAAGATACCCAACAATGAAACAGACTGCCTCAGGAGGTGGTGAGATGGCTTTCACCGGAGGTCTTCATGCAAAAACAAAGTGGCCACTTGTAGAATATTTTGTACAGAGGGATTCCTTTTTAGGTACAGTTAAACTGGATATCCTATGAGTTCTTTCCAATTATGAGTACTTAGGATATTTATGAAATGTTTGTGGTAATGGTCTACATTCAGATTGAGGGCTTTCTTTTTTTATGATAATTTGTATTTATCTTTTTGTTTTCAACATTTACTTCCACAAGATTTTGAGTTCCAAATTTTCACCCCATCTCGCCCCTCCCCCCACCCCAAGATGGCATGCGTTCTGAATACCCCTTCCCCTAGTCTGCCTTCCCTTTTATCTCTCCCCCCCTTCTCTCATCCTCTTCCCCTTCAATTTTCCTGTAGAGCAGGATGGATTTCTGTACTCCATTTCCTGTATTTCTTATTTCCCAGTTACATGTGAACACATTTTTTTAAACATGTGTTTTTAAAACTTTGGGTTCCAAATTTTCTCCCTTCCTCCGTCCCCATCCACCCTCATTGATAAGGCAAGCAACTAAATATAGGTTATATATGTGCAGTTATGCAAAACACTTCCATAGTAGACATGCTATGAAAAACTCTATTTTTCTTAATCCTATCCCACCCCCCCATTTATTCTATTCTTTATTTTGACTCTGACCCTCCTCAGAAGTACTTGCTTCTAATTATCCCCTTTCCCAATCTGCCCTCCTCTCTATCATCCCCCTACTCTCTTGTCCCCTTCCCCCCCTCCATTTTCCTGTAGGGTAAGACAGATTTCCATGCCCAGTTGTGTGTGTATGTTATTCTCCCCTTAAGTCAAATCCTATGAGAATAAGATTCACTCATTCCCTCTCACCTTCCCCCATTTCCCCTCCACTGTAAGAGCCTTTTCTTTTCTGTTTTTTTTTGTGAGATAATTTACCCCGTTCTACCTCTCCCTTTCTCCTTTTCCTAGTATAATCTTCTCTCACCCCTTAATTTTATTCTCCAGATATGACCCCTTCATCTTCAGCTCACCCTGTGCCCTCTATCTATCTATCTATCTATCTATCTATCTATCTATCTATCTATCACTCTATCTATATCTATATATATGTACATATAATTTTTCCCCCTCCAACTACCCTAATACTGACAAAAGTCTCGTGAGTTACAAATATCATCTTTCCATGCAGGGATGTAAACAGTTCAACCTTAATAAGTCTCTTATGATTTCTCTTTCCTGTTTACCTCTTCGTGTTCCACTTGAATCTTGTATTTGAAAATCAAATTTTCTATTCAGCTCTGGTCTTTTCATCAAGAATGCTTGAAAGTCCTCTATTTCACTGAATGACCATTTTTTCCCCTGCAAGATTATACTCAGTTTTGCCAGGTAGGTGATTCTTGGTTGTAATCCTATCTCCTTTGCCCTCTGAAATATTATATTCCATGTCCTGTGGTCCCTTAATGTAGAAGCAGCTAAATCTTGTGTTATCCCGATTGTGTTTCCACAATACTTGAATTGTTTCTTTCTGGCTGCTTCTAACATTTTCTCCTTGACCTTGGAACTCTGGAATTTGGCTACAATGTCCTTAGGAGTTTTCCTTTGGGGATCTCTTGCAGGAGGTGATTGGTGAATTCTTTCAATTTCTATTTTGCCCTCTGGTTCTAAAATATCAGGGCAGTTTTCCTGGATAATTTCTTGAAAGATGATGTGAAGGCTCTCTTTTTGATCATGGCTTTCAGATAGTCCAATAAATTTTAAATTCTCTCTCCTGGATCTATTTTCCAGGTCAGTTGTTTTTCCAATGAGATATTTCACATTGTTTTCTAATTTTTCATTCTTTTGGATTTGTTTTACAGTGTCTTGATTTCTCATAAAGTCACTAGCTTCCAGTTGCTCTATTCTAATTTTTAAGAAAGTATTTTCTTCAGTAATCTTTTGGACTTCCTTTTCCATTTGGCCAATTTTGTTTTTTAGGACATTTTTCTCCTCATTGGCTTTTTGGACCTCTTTTGCCATTTGGGTTAGGCTATTTTTTTAAGGCGTTATTTTCTTCAGTATTTTTTTGGGTCTCCTTTAGCAAGCTGTTGACTTGTTTTTCACTATTTTCTTGCAAAACTCTCAGTTTTTCCTCTACTTCTCTTACTTGCTTCTCAAAATCCCTTTTGAGCTCTTCCAAGGCCAGGGGCTGATTTGTATTCTTCTTGGAGGCTTTGAATGTAGGAGCTTTGGCTTCATTGTCTTTTTCTGGTTGTATGTTTTGATCTTCTTTGTCACCAAAGTAAGATAATTTATTCTGACTCTTTTTGCGCTGCTTACTCATGATCCCAGTCAATTACTTGAGTTTTAAACTCTTTGTTAAGGTAAAAGTTGGGGGTTTGTCCAGCTGTTTTCAGAGATACTTTTAGGGACCTGAAAATTTTCAGTTCTTCCAAGGTGCTATGATAAGGGGTGAGGTGTTTTCTCTCCACTGACACAATAAGTTCCACCACACCAGCACTCCTCACCCCAGGACCACCCCTCAGAACTGTGACCCAGATCCAAGCACCAGTAAAGCAAGAGATTCCTGCCTCAGCACTAGCAAAGAGATCCCTGCAATCCCCCTCTGATCAGGCACTCGATCCCCCCTCAGTCTGTGGGCTGGTTGCTCAGGGAACAGCTGTGGCCCCTGGGGGCAGCTAAGACCTAGCTCCTTCTCTCACCGCAGTCACAGACTTTTCCCACTGACCTTCTAAGTTGTCTTTGGCGTTCATGGGTTGAGAAGTCTGGAAACCACCACAGCTGCCTATGATTCAATCCTCTGATGCCTGCTTCAGGTTCGCTGCAGCCTGCGCGCCCACACCAAACTGCGCTTCTCTCTGCGCATGGTGCGATATATCTTTCTGAT